TCCCCCCGCCGTTGCCTTCGTCAGCTGCCCCTTCTGCAGGATGGTGACGCTGGTGCCTGAGCTGGCTCCGGGTGGTCCCAGGGTGACGCCAGCCTTGGGGACCCTGCGTGGGGAGGAGGAAGAGGAGAGGGAGGAAGGCAGCGGTGCCCCCCCAGACACCTGCCAAGCCTCGTCGCGCTCCGTGGCCGTAGAGGTGGCGTGCACAGCTCACGCCCCCATCTTTGCGGTGAGCGGCATGGTGTCCCCCCGTGGCCTCCGACGTGGCTCCGAGGTACCAGGCGCCTTCGTGCTGGGGCTGCCAGGGCGGGGGCTGCTGCTGGACACGCAGTCCCCCCTCGCCTCCATGGAGAACCTGCGCCTTGGCTTTGCTGCCGGCATCCTCGTCCTCATTGTCTCCACCTTCTTCCTGCTCGTCTTCCTCAAGTAGGTCTGGATGGGGGAGAGGGGCTCTCGTCCTGCACCAAAGCCCCCCGCCGCCTCCCCTGGGGCAGCCAGGATGGACCCAGCGGTGGGTCAGGGACTTCTCGGGCCACGGATGGCTCAGCCCCAGCGAGGAGGGCAGGGAGAGGGCTGAGGATGGGACTGGGGGCTCAGCACCTCCCAGGATCCAGCCCAGGCATGTGGGGGCCCCAGGACACTCGGCTGCCCCAGCTCGGCCTCAGACTCTTTAAAAATTAACTTACTGCAGAGCTTTCCCTCACCCCCTGGGGTCTGGCTGTGCTCACGTTGTGTTCATAATGATCCGGCGCCTCCAGACCCCGCCGGCGGCAGCTCAGCAGGAGTCACAGCATGGGGCGGCGCATGCTTGCCAGTGCTGCAGTCCCAGAGGCTGGACTATTTCCCTGGCTGCACTTCAGTCCATCTCATCAGGCAGCAAGGACAGAGTGAAAAGGGATGGGAAGGGTCCCATATTGCTTTTCTGTGGGTGAAGCTGTTCAAAACCAATTAAAAAAAAGCCCTTTGCCCCTGAGAAGAAAGCCCAGCGTGGCACATGCAGAGGGACATGGCAGCTGGGGAAGGGCATTGCCCACAGAGCCATGAGACATTAAAGACAGACGTTGGCCCAGCACCGTCTCCAGTTGTTTTTCTGTGTACCCGAGGGCAGGGAGAGTTTTGCACCAAGAACAATGCACCGCCTTTGCTCTCAGCAGGCAGCACAGGGGATGGGTGTGATAACCAGGGCCCAGGCATAGGGGAGGGTGTCCTCACCTTCCCTCAGCCCCTGAGGGAAGTGGGTGTTGAGCCCCAACACACCCGGCAACGCCCTCTCAGCCAAATCCTCAGCAAGGTCCCTCTCTCTACAGTATACCCACCTCCTGTCCCCAAAGCACCCAGAAGCAGGACCAGCCCCCCCCGCTGGGATCTGCCCCCTCCTCAGGACAGGGCAAGTCCATCACGCCCAGAGCCCCTGAGCCTGCTGTCCCCCATGGAGCCCAGAGCTTTCTCATATTTGCCCTTCCTGCGCCCAAGGCAGGCATGTATGTGGGTGCAGAGGACAAACATGGTTTATTTTAGGCCCCGAGACCGAGCCAGAAAAAAAACCTGGGAGCTACATGCCTGGGTAGAGGGAGGTACCAACATGGGGAAGCAGCTATGTTACCTGCCATGCCTGCTTTTAGAGGGACAAGTTTCAAATCTCAACTCTTGCACCTTAATCCATGCCCAGAGCAAACAGGCACAGCTCATAGCTGGGACTCCTGCTGAGCAGGCACCCTTCCTGTATCCACAGAGCCAGCTCAGGAGAGACCAGGCTGCTGCAAAGCCTTGTGAGATGCAAGCTCCCTGAAAGCCCAATGACAAACCACATGCATGGCATCCCTGTGTACATCATGACTAACTTCTGTACTTCAGTTTCTTGCACCAACACTGCAAGGTGACAGCCTCACAGGAGCTGCAGTCACAGCACAAAGGGACTGTCTCCTCCCTTCCCAGGAGAGGGGTTTAATGACAAGAACATTCCCAGAAGAGTTTCTACATCAAATTAGTCCTGATTTGAGTCAGAACTAAGTCAGTTTTCAAGCGCACAGAAATAGATCAAGTTGGACTAAAGTAAAACCCATGCAAGCAAAAAAAACCCACCCATGTTTAATTGCACTTTATTTTTCAAGAAGTGAAATGCAAATCCCTCAGGTTGTCTATCTGTAACAGGAAACACAAGAGGAATTTGTTAGCATTAGCAACGACCTCCACTAGGACACTGCCACAGATGGGGGGTCCAGAGGCCACATCAGGGTACCTACACTCAAACTGGCACAAGGAAGGGGAGCCCCAGAAAATCTGGGTGTCACACACCGTCACATTCAGCACCAAATAACTACTTGGTGCTTTGACTTCCATCACAGCTCCCTGGGAAACCCCAGCTAAGCTCACCCTGCGAGACAAGCATTTGCATGGCAGCAGGTCAGCTATTCACAGGCTTTGGTCTCTTCCACAATTTTAGCTGCATTTGGCAATTTGCCACACTGAGTGTGCAGTGCAGGAGCAGGGATGCTACACTGCCTACACTCTATGCCGAGTGCTCTTTTTTTGTTTTCCTCCCAAGAAATTGCTTTTAGGAGGGCACAGATCAAATTCAGTTCAGAGATGGTAAGAGGCAGTTGTAGAAACTAAACTGTAGTATAATTATTTTAAGCACTTCAAACTTCCATTTTATTAAGTGAAGGGGGGGTTTATTTGTTTTAAAGACATAAAGACTTGCTCATAGTTTTAAGTTGCATTAGTGCCAATGAGTGTAGAAATAAAAGTGCTATGAGAAATCCAACGTGTTTGCCCAGCTGTCTATCCTCACTGCTTTCCCCTCTTGGTCCACTTAGACTGAGAAGTTATAGCCCAAACCCCTGGCTGCCTGGCAGAACCAGGTGAGGTTGGGTTATAGCTTATGTCCCACCATCACTAAGTTTTAACTTGTCACACTTGAAAGAGCAGCAGAGAAAAAGGCACAGGAGATGGGCTTGGCTGCCTATAGTAACTCCCTCCCTCCAGACAAGAAGCACACCACACATCTGTATTGCTGCTTTCACTGCCTGTGAAACACAATGCAGGAAAAAAATCCCCTCACCTCTGCCCACAGAGAAAAGACGAGCTGGATCTACAGTGGATCATTTTTGTGAGGCCCCCATGAGCCTCGGACTCCTCCATAAAACACAGCCAGGGATTTGGCTTCATAACAACAGCAATTACTAGATGCTACATCTGTGCTTGGAGCATTGGTCTAACAGAGCCCCGACTTTCAGTAGCGCTAACAGGTGCCCCTGCCTAGCAGGCTGCAGGTCAGCGAGCACCATGTGTGGCGCAGCTCTGAACATAAAACAGTGCTGACCTGAACCATCTCAGCCCCTGGGGTTTCCACAAGCTGCCTGTGCAGAGCCAGTAGCTCACAGGAAACACCTGCCTGGGGTCTCTCGGCCAACTCTCCCACTGCACATTGCTAATACATGGTGATGAGATGGTGTAGAGTCCCTGGGAGCCACCTTGGGGACTAAGAGAAATATTCCAAGATGATCTTCACTGGGGAAGGAGGAGAGATTTTAGTCTGTTTTTTTAAAAAGTAGTTACCTCCTGCAGAGTCCTGCCAGACTTGTTCTTCTGAAGCACTTTACAGAGTTCACATTTGCATAAAGTTTCAGATTAATGAATCAACAGTTCACAGAAGTAGGACAGCAATACAAACGTGCAGTAAGACTGGTTGGTTCCTTCAGCTCATTCCCAACGTCTGTGCATGTCTGTCAGGTCAGAGCAATGGGTCTGGGTGCCCATGAGTGCAAAAAGACCCACCTGCTCTCAGGCCCCATCAGTCTGCAGTACAAGAGCCTGGGGAGTCCCTGGTTGTTCACAACTGTCCTATGAAGGCAGCTCATTAAGCACTAAGTGCACAGGAAGAGGCCATGCCCAGAGGATAGGGCTCACAGGCTCACCAGCTGGCTCTTCATCCCAGCCAGTCCAGATCATCATCGTCATCATCACCAAAGAGCGGAGCTGGAGGGGGACGCCCCTTCATGCTCTGGAAGTAAAACCAGAGGGCAACCTGTCAGTCTGAACAGCTTCCCAGTATTTAGTAATTGCTACACAGTTCTGGCTCTGAAATCTCCATCAGCTTTAGGGAGATGATATCAAGAAGCCTCATGACTGATGGTTTTGCACTTGTCATATAATGGCTTAATATTCCAGGAGAGATGCTTACAGGCTAAAAGGGATAGGAGAGGGGCAAGACATTAAAACCTTTCAATTAACCTGGCAAGTCTCACTAACTTCATGCCAGCCAGAGTTTGTCATAACTGTCTCACCCCAGACAAGCCCTCCAAGCTCAACAAGAAACAAACCCAGATGCTCTTGATTTATACAGAGAACTTAGGGGAAGCTCTGAGCTTCGCTAGCAGGAGCCGAGCAGTCCCCCACTGCCACAGGAAGGATTTCACAGACAAGCTACAGGTTAACACCTGAACCAGTTTAGGAGGAGTGGAAAGATACACATACATACCACTTCCTCCTCATCCTCCTCTTCAGAGGGAACTCGAGGCTTCAGCGGTTTCTGAGATGCTGTTTCAAAGAAGTTGTCTTCCTCAAAGAGGCTAGAAGAAGATAAAGAATTAACAGTTTGCTTGCAGCTGATGGGATCTTGGTTTTACAAGTTCTATTAAAGAACAATGGAAAAGTTTTGTCGCAGAGGCAAACTTAAGGCACATACTATTCACCAGTGCAGAATGTTTCAGTAATGAGACCTGGCAGCCACCAATATCAGATGCTAGAGAAGCTGCACGCTCCCCTCTGTGCTCAGCTGGGAACCGTTCACCAGGGGTAACCTGTTCTGCAACTGCTCTCCCAGCAGAGCATGCCCTGGACAGCCGAGTCTCTGCCAGCACCTGGCTCATGCTGCCCAGGGCTAGCACCGTGATGGTGCTTCAGCCCGACCACATGTGCTGCCCTGCAGTAGTAGCACAACTGAACCAGCCTCTGGGTGTGTTGCTGTATCAGACTGAGCTGATCAACAGGGAAGTGGGACTGTGGCTCCCCCAGCAGTCACACCTTACCTGCAACCTTTTTGCCTGTGGCTGGAGCCCACTTCCTGCTGTCCTGGGGTTTCTCTGATGATAGCTGAGCTCTGCTCTGCTGTGGCAGATACTGAAGCAGGCTCCTTCTCAGAGCTAGCGCTATCTGATGGGTCTGTGCAGTTCCCTCCCTCACCATTTAAGGGAGGGGGCTCTAAACCTCCAGCAGGCTCCTCTGCCTTCTGCTCCACAGCTGGCTTTTCTAGAGGCACTGCCACATCCGCTTCTCCTGGCTTGGCTTCGAGAACAGAAGGTTCTGCAACTTCTGCCTGCAAAGAGACTCTGGAGGGACTGCGTTCAGTCTCAGCTTTCCTGATGGGACTGCTCTCCTGCCTTTGCTTAGCTGAGACAAAGTCTTCATCCACCTCGGGAACAGGCTGTCCTGCAAGTACAGGCCCCTTATCAGGATCCAGGCAGGATTCAGCTGTGGAAGAGAGATGCTCCCCCTGGACCTTCTCATCTTCTGACACCATGCTGCTCTGTGTCGCCTGCTCCTTCTCAGGAGTTCTGGGCCTGGCAGACAGAGGAGCACACTCGCCTTCCTGGTCAGATACCGTGGAGCCTGTGGTTGCTTCCCCAGGATCAGCTGGGAATGCAACACTCTGTGCTGGGCTGTGCTGCATGGGCTCTTTGTGGTCAGTCTTTGCTCCAGGAGATGCCTCCTGTCTCACTGCTCCTGTTCCAGATTCCTCCTTTTTAGTATCATCATCTGGTCTCTCCTGCTGCCTGTTGAGTAGCTGCAGTGTTACAGTCTAAAAAATTGAGCAGAGAGAATGTCTGTTATACACTAAACATAAACTGTCACAGATCCCTATATCATCTTCTACTACTGGGCTGCTTTGCCACCCACAACAAATTTCTGCTTCATAGTTATTTCAGACTCACAACATAAATTTGTATTTTTAGCCCAAGACTTGTTCTCTCAAATTGAACACCTTTTCTCTCTCATTGCTGTTGTACCTTAATAGTGTTCATGACAACACCCAGAACTGTTCTGCCACTGTATGTCTCTTCCAGCTCAAATTCGCCACGAAGAGATTGAAATACACCATTCATTATCTTCTTTACCTGGAAAAGAGCAGGACAGGAAACAAAGATACAATTCATTAATACGCAAAGCACTGGACTCAGTATCAGATACTCCTCCAGGTGAAGGAACAATAAACCCAAATACACACGTGGTTTTCAAAGAATCCACTTTTCAAATCAGAAATTCCTGTAACAAAGCAGAATACATTATGCCATCTTAATTCAGAACCATTATATATACACCAAACCCATCCCTCCAAAACTGAGGCAGGTTGCACAAACCCAAGGCAGACTGACACTTATTTCTTACTATTCTTTCAATTTTAAAATCTAAACCACAAATCTTAACATTTAAAATAAATAAATTAAAATATCAAGCAACAAAGTGGGCAGCAGGAAGATCACATTCTTTCTTCCTCTATAGACCCTGCTACTAGAAACACAGTCCTTCCGTGAAGGAAATCTTTTTCCTTCTTATCTCTGCTCAAAGAGAAATAATTCAAGGCAAATAGAATAGATTTGCTTAGTAAGGTGAAATACTGGATAGTCAAGCTCACTTCTTCTGTGAAGTCCGCAGGTAAAGATCTGTCCTGATCCTTCTCCAGGTCTCGGATGCGTTCTTCATAGCGAGCCTTCAGCACCACAGTATCAGACTGCAAGGCTGAATACTGCCAAAGGGAGACCAAAAGTTAGAACAGCTTCAGACACCATCACAATGGATCTTGCAATGGATGGGTTATCTGTAAACAGTTTTTTAGTGAGGGGTAAATTGCTGAGTGAAGTTTTAAGCAGGGCTTTGATAGAGAGTTGCAAAAGACTTGGCAGAAATTAAGAGCACCAAACTAAAGATATCCAACCAAGCTAAAACCTTGGAGATCCACAACTGTGTCATTAGCTCTTCAAGTTCAAGTAACACCAAGAATGGGCACAGCATTACTGAGATCCTAATGAAATGAGGGCTGAGTCCATCATAGGACCTGTTCTGGTTTGCTGGAAGCAACATGAAGTTATTCCTCCCCTCCCATATTCTGGAACTCGTGTTCCTGTTATTCTGGACACAGGTAGCCTGAGGCTAGTGATTACTGCACTCCAGTTCATATTCAGCTGCTGTGTTATTCCCTTTACCTTCTCTTTGATAGGCTCTAGTTGCTCCAAACGTTGCTGAAACTCAGACAATTTTTGCTCTTCTGCTTTTTTTGAGTGTTTTAGTGCTGCAAGCTGAAAGACAAAGAACTAGAGCCCATCAGTTTACAGCCCCTTTCAGTGTCACCCACTTCAAAACAGTTTCTGCTCAAAAACAGTCACTCAGAACAGTGCAGATAGGCAGAAGAGATTGTAGCTGTTGCTTTAGTCCAGGACTGACATCATCTTGGCTCTCCCTCATTCAGAGCTGCAGTAGTAAATTCACTAGCCCACCAACCCACTGTAACAGATGCAAGTACGGATGCATTCTGTGGACAAGACCAAATTCCGTAACAGTCAAGAAATTAAAAAGTCAAGCCACAATTAGGCAGGACAGGACTGTTGGTTACAGTTACTGGTTATTTGGAATTACACTTCAGCAATGAAGAACGGCCCTTTACCTTCTCTTCCAGCTGGGACACCTGCTGCTGCAGGGAATCTCTCTGCTCACACACCTCCTGGTACTGTCTAACATGCTGCTCCTTGGCAGAGGCCAGCGTACGTTCACATTTGGCTTCCCACTGGGATTCCAGTTCTGCCTGGATGAGTGACAGCTGCCCATCATGTAAGAGAGATCATTAGGAACACACACACACAATCTGTATTTGCACAACATATGGCTGAAAGCTTGGGGCTGGACAACATCTCCTGTCCTAGGCTGGAATACCTACATGCAGGTGGCAGCCCTGCAGCTGCCTCCAGCTCCTGCCCACACTGCTCAGAGTTCAATTCCGGCCACAATCCCTCAGGCAGGCCTGAAGGTCTGGCTCAGATTTCAGATCTCTCAGCATGTTTCTAAGCAGTCTTTCACTCATCAGCAGTCTTTTATTCTTCTCTCTACTATGAACTCAATTGGGTGCCTCTCCTTTCCTCAATTTGACACACTCTTTTAACAGTCTAAATCTGATGCTGCATGCCAGCCTGCATCAATGCTGCATTAATGCTGCACCAAAACTCTGCAGCCACGTCAGTGGCCTGTGATTTGAGTCAGAGAACAACTGGGACCTAGCAGCCTTCCTGCCTACTCAAATTGTGCACTTCCTTAGAAAGACATCAGTGTAAATCCCGAAGTCAGAAGCACGGCCAGCAAACACCAGCAAAGACATTTAGAAAGACAAAGTGAACTCTGTGTTAAAGTTAACCCCTAAAATCAATTGGATAATTTTTTCATTCTTCCACTACCTGAGCATTTTCACAACTATTTCCTACCTGTAGGTTCCTACAAGCCTTCCAGACATTTGTTGGAGAAGCTCCTGTGACTCCTCACCTGCTCTGCTGCTGCCTGGTCAGTTGAAGTCCGTGCCTTTTTCAGCAACTGTCGAAGCTTGTTTTCCTGCTGGTATGATCTGCGTATTTCTTCCATCTCTTCCTCTGCTTGAGCTTTCTCTGAGAGGGATTTCTTCTTCCTCTCTGCAAGATTCTGCAATACAGAACAGTACATAGAATAGGTCAGACTGCACCAAAGTAGCATCTCTTTCTCGTGAGAAAGAGCTTCTTTGAGCAGGGAATCTTATCACTTTAAAATCAAGCTGAGATTATTTTAGAGGTAGGAAGGTTAACATATTACTGGCTAAGACATTTAAAAAAAAAAAATCACATAAGCATAAAGGATCCACCAGCACAGAGAACTTTGCCTGCGGATGAGTCAAGGTTTACCCAACTTGCATATTTACAAGCAAGAATGTTGGGTTAAATTTCAGCAAACAACTGAAACCCTGCATCTCTCTGTAATGCTGGCACTGGACATACCCTTTCAAGAGTCTCCTTTTCCACTTTTAGGTCCGTTAGCTCTTCTTCCAATGCTTTAATCTTCATGTCCAGCTGTTTGCGGCTCTGCTTCTCAGCTTTGAATCTAGTCTGAGTGTCCTCAGAGGCTTCGTGGAGCTCTGCAAGAATACACTTTACTGTGGGTTTCAGTGTTACACATATTTCAGGTTAGCGCATTTGGGGGCTGATGGGAAGGAACACTGTCTCTTGCACAATGAAATCAACAACACAGCTTGCACCTGTAGTGGGAACTACAATTTATCAAGAGCCTCTTCTGTGAAATGGCAATGCTTATACCACAGCTTTTACCTCAACTTTTCAACCACTGGAATATCTCTGGTTCCTCTACAAGACGTTAGACAGTAATGCAAAGAGATTGCTTCTGCAAAAGGCATCCCTGTGCCAGGATGATTTTTTCCAGCCCACTTTTCTTTTAGTAGTAACAAGGATGCATGTACCCCTCACACATTTCAGTGCATCAATATCCTTCTTTGATACCCTTGTGACTGATCCTAGGGAAAGCTGGAATAGATAATCCAGAAGAAAGGAAAAACCTATGACTTATAAAAGAGGAAAAAGAATGACATAAGGAGCTCTCATGGAACAGGTACAAGAAGCCTTACCTGCTAACTGCGCTTGCAGTTTGTTGAGCTGCGTCTCATGTCGCTCTGCCTCCTGCAGGGCAGCAGACAGCTGTTTCCGCAGGTCCATTTCCTTCTTCTGGTGGGCAGTCAACTCCAGCTGCAGTTGGGAAACTTGTGCTGTGGCAGCTGCTAACTCCTCTGCAACTTTGGCCTGTATCACAAGATGGAGCAGGGAAAAGGGAGGAAAAAAAGGATACGTGAGAGTGAGGAGGCACCACAACTGTTCTCACAGGAAGAGCTGATAAGGTACTGGAGACCTTATCAGGGAAGTGCTGGGATCCAGCACCTCAGAGACATCTCCAAATTGAAGAGGTAATGGTAACTTTTTTGCCATGTTACTACGAGTTGTTTGGTTGTAACCTGTCCAGACAGACTAGAAAGTTGCACAAGGCCACCAACAACCTCATCACCACATTAGTTCAACTTGGTGAGTTTTCCTGAAAAGCTTAAATGTGTTTTTAAGACTAGTACCAGCACCTGGTGGTTCTGTTCAGAGTTTTCAGGCTATGACAACACCTATCCAAGTAAAAGCCTGGGCTCCAACATCTTCTCTTCAATAAACTTACAAATCACTGAAAAGCTACACAAAACGTAGGCTTGTTCCAGCCAAAAGAGCACCTTTCCTCCAGAGCACACAGCACATAGTCACCCTGAGGTGCCCGCACAGGCAAGGCCGTCATTTTGGAGCATAGTTCTCACAGTAACTTGTTGACCTGTTCAGATTTAGTATTGCTCAAAGTCAGTGACTCATGTAAAACCAGGTACCAATACAGTTAGACAACTTGTAAACAGTATGTTAGGAGAGGCTCAAGGCATCAAGACAAAGACACAAAGTCAAGTTCCCAATCTTGTTGCATGACACACAAAATTCAGAGGATGCTCTGCAAAGACAGAACTACACCCGTCAGAAGACCTCACTTGCTGCAGGGAATACCTAAACAGCTTCTCTATCTATGCCTACATTCAGGCTCCCAACAGGCTTTCACGTTCTTGTAACTGATAAGTTCAGAAGAACTGGAGTTTCTCTCTGCTTTATCCCCATAAAAGAACTAAAGCGTTTCTCTTCAGACTAAGACCACCACCTTCTGGCTGTGAGAAGAGCTGTGAGCAAAATTGTTCCAACTATGGTGAGGATGAGTATGTGCTGACCTTGAAGGCTGGGATACCACACCATTAATTTTAAAGAGGCGGCAGCATTTCAACAGAGACTGGCTAAACCGGATCTGCTTTCCTATCACGTTTCGATAAATGTCTCACTGCAGTTCAAAATACTAACTCCTAGCATGCTAAAAACAAAACAAAACCCCACACCATATCTAAAGGTTATTTTAACACTTGCCTTTGTCTTTAATGTCAAATAAAGAAAAATAAAAAGGAAATCTTTAGCCAGGAACTGTTACTAGATTTAAGTTTCTGCAGTGAATGCTTCATATCTATACTAGCTCAGCTCCAGCTTCCAGCTTTCAGGTACCAAGAATCTCATGTGATCGGTATCTGCTCTGACAATTACATGTCCTGTTTCTCCCGTGGGGGAGGTGAAATGAGCAGCAATGTGACAAAGTTCTTTGAAAGGGCTCCCCAAGAAAGAGGGGGCCAGTGGCTACACTGCCAGTTATAGAGCCCTTTTCCAAGTTAAGATCCATGCTAATTCAAGATCTGAGGCAATTCTTTTAATGCCAATCATCTTCTAGCTAGTTCAAGACGAAGCTGGGCTGGCACTATCTAGGGCACAATTATCTATCACCTACACAGTCAGCAGACACACTGCCTCACCTGGTCCCAGCCCCGATCCACTGGCAGCATGTGCTAGGAAGAAAAAGCAGTGACAGGAAACAGGAAGAGTTAACACCACAACTTGAAAGGCAGAGGCATTAATCATCATCAGAAAAGCAAAATGCTTCATTACAGGAGCCTAAGGCATGCCAGAGAAGCCATTATTCCAAGAACTGTAAAAGCTTAGACAGAAAAAGGTAGTGAAGCCTGGCTTAAAAAGAAAGAAGCTAAAGGTATGCTTACAGGTACATTACACACCACAGATGTAGGAGCAGTCCTACACGTGACTACCGTTTCAACGCACTGGAGAGTGTGGAGTATCACCTATTATGGTACACAAAGCCTTCATCAAAAGCTGTGACTTGCTCTGCCAGGGTCAAAGATCTACAACCCAAAAGCAGCAAGCTACTAACTAATACCTCTTCTCAGTGATCCTGGGTACAGATGCCTGGCCTGTATCACAAAATAAATGGCGAGTCCCTATTTTTAAGTAAAGAATAGATAAAATAGCTTAAAATTCTCTTCCCTGATTCTGTCTGTCCATAGTAACCTCACAGCAATTGCAGTCACAGAGCAAGCTAGGTTACATAAAAGGAAGAGGAAATAATACCAGCCCTCATTTACAGTCAATACTCTCACAAAACTAGGGGAAATCTTCTCCAGTGCAAGTCATGGCTTTTCTGGTCTTAGCCTGAAGTCTATTCCTGTAGTAGTGTTATCACCTAGGCAGTGACTGCTGAATCAAGTGGAGTCCTGTTGAAGATGAGGCCCAAAAGATTCCTGAAGATCATATCTTGTACTTCCAAAAGATGCTTCCTCCCCAAGGTACTTATCACGCAAGCTGGATGTTGTGCTCACTGACATAAAGGAATTTTATTTATTATTTCAATCTGACTTATTCCTGGTTAGAATCTCTCACACTCCCTACTTATTATGGGTATCTGACCTGGGCACTCAGCAGAAAAATACAGCTCTCCTTCATTGTCTGCTCACACCAGCATACAATTATCAGCTGTATATTGCTCTATTCTTTGGCACACTTGCCAGCATACTTTGGAAAGCTGCACTTTCTGTCATTTTTAGGTGCACTGAGTTACGGTTCTCATACAGAGCAAGCATTTATCATCTCATATTTGAACTGGAGAGATACACAACTGGTGCAAGACTGAATTTGGAGTAATTTAAGAAGCCAGTGCTTGAGAAAGCATAGAAGACACTGCAGTTGCAGACCTCAAAGCTAGCCTACCTGGGCTAGGCTGTCATGAGTGAACATTACAGGATATGCAGCCATGCGTAAGTGCATTTATCTGGTTTGAAAGCTATTTCCCAATAGCCTTCCCACTGTGCTTTCACAAAAGCACAATATGTTATTGGTAGAAACAACCAGCTTTTGATTAGTATATAAAAAAAGTATAAAAAAGTGCAATGAAGAAACTCTAGTAGGAAATAATTTTTCTTATAGCTACATTCACTCTGCATCAGATAAACAGAAGGAATAAAAAAACCTTCTGAAATTGCCAGTGTGACTAAATGAACAAAGTACATTTTCAACCTGACAAAGCCCTGTGATACACACAATTCCTCAACATGTTGGCCATATACTGACAAAATTAACAATAAATCACTTTCCTGTAAGATAAGAATATTCAAGCTACAACAGCATAAAGATCTACATTTATATCCTCTGTGCTGCTATTGTTATGAAAGCCATGAAAATATTCAAATTGTTTCTCAAAACATCTTTCAAAACATAAGTTCAGAACTGCAGTTGTCTTGTAAGAGAACCGACTTCAGACTTTATGAACAAGGCTTCAGCATGTTTTAGTGCAACAAGCAGCCCCTTTTCCTGGCTGCAGCTACAGGTCTATGGCTCTGCTCATTGTCACCATTACCTTCTCCTGTTCTGCATGCAACACTCTTGCCTGTGTGTTTTCATTTGTTGTTTGCAGCGAATGGTTCCTCTGCTCCATCAGCAAGTTACTTTGTTCAACATACCTGTGAACAGGGGAAGACTGCATGAACATTTATGTAAATACATGACTGGGAGCAAAAGGCTCTGATAGAAAAGGTGATTATTTCAAAGCAGTTTTCCTCATGACAAGTCCCAGACAATTTTGCATGATCTCCTGCACTAAAAGCCTGATCTTAAAAGGGTGGAATCGGTATGCCTGGCACAGCAGAGATTTTATCAGTTTGGATAAGTGCTTTACCTCTTCGCAACAAATCTAATGTTCCTATCACACAGTCAAGAGTTTTGATAACCTGATAACCACTGACCTTTGCCATTTCCTTAAACAAGTTATTCCCCCTTCTTAAACTGAATGGAACACACACTCAACAGTGGAACTAGGGACAACACAACCCCCACAATTTATTCTACCTTACTAAAAAGCTAACAAAAGTAAAGTAACTCCCAGAAGCACAGCAAGCATGCTCAAAGAAGACAGCATGAGCCTCTCCCCCCCACACTCTTCTACACATTAACATTTACAGTAAACCACAGTTTTG